TCCCCACAACAGACACCCTGTGAGGTGGGTGGGGCTGAGAGAGCTCTGACACAAACTGCTCTTTCAGGAACAGCTGTGCCAGAGCTTGTGACTGACCCAAGGTCACATCAGCAGGTGCAAGTGAAGGAGTGGGGAATCAAACCCGGTTCTCCCAGATTAGAGTCCGCACACTTAACCACTACACCAAACTGGCTCTCCAGTCCAACTACATTGCGTATGAGATCTGTAATTGGGAAACCTGCAACTGATAGGGCTGCAAACTTTTATGCTGGTCCTTCTAGTTGTCCCTTTAGTATCAGTTTGTTTTGTAGTAGGGCCGTGCATTCGGTTTATCCGAGCTGACCCCCCCCCCCCCGAAAAATACCTTACCGGTATTTGGGGGGTATTTTTTCAGCTGGAGTATTTATCCAGCTATCCGATATGACCAAGCTTGAAAAATCCTGAAACCCTTTAGCTGGTGTTAAAAGGTATTTAAAAGGATCGCACAATCCCTTTTAACACCTTCCAGGTGAAGCTGTGGCTTAAAGAAGGATTGTGAGCCCTTTAAATGCCCTCAGAATTCAGCCATGGCTTGCAAAAGGCATTTAAAGGGATGGGGGCACCTCCTTCTGGGGCCCATAGAACTGGACCCCCTGGTCCAATTGAAATTTGGGGAGTTTTTTGAGGAGAGGCAGCAGCAGCTATGCTGCAAATTTGGTGCCTCTACCTGAAAAAACAGCCCCACAGAGCACCATGTGCCCCCAGAGTGATTCTCCATTTATATACTGTGTGTGTATAATAGTTCCCATAGGATATAATGGAACCAGAAAAATTCGGCAATCCCGAATATTTACCGAATCCAAATACCATACCTATATTGAAATTTGGGAATATCAGGAAATACCTTGGGGGGGGGGGGCCTCAATGTACTAGAATCCAAAAAATACTGGGGGGTTTTGCACACCCCTAGTTTGCAGCAATTATCAGGTGATGTTATTTAACTTCATGCCAAGAAAAACTTCCAGTGGCCATTTCTCGCGATTAAACCTCTATTAAAGGGGCAGAACATTCCCCCCTCCATCCGGCTGGCATCTTTAGCGTTTGACTGAGGCCCATAATTTGTCAAGGAAAACTTCTGAAGAGCCCTAGCTTCTTAGGAACACAGCTTGCGAATCATTGGTAAAAAGTGATTTAAAAGCACATCAGAGAAAAAACATATGGCTTTCAGCAAGAGTTTCAACACTCTAACACTAAACACAGCTTACCATTTACGCAGGAGGCATCAATCAACAGCTAGAAGCTGTCCAACCAAATTTGGTGCCCACCCCACACAAACAGTTGATTAGGGCTGCTTACCAGGGTCATCTCCATAAAATTTCCAAGAGAGCAAAAAAAAAATTAACAGTAGCTGTTCACCTTTTGCCATGCAATTCTACCCGCAGAATTGATAGACTGCTCATGGCAGGCATGGCAGCAAAACAGCCAAAGGGGCTTGGAGCTGCTGCACGCCCCCCACCAGCCTGCTTTGCCGCTCAAACCCTGCACGACGTCAAGCCTGCCACACTGGGTTACTGCAGAAAATTAAATAAGCCCCTGCCTAAATTCTGTATTTCGCTCCAGGCCAGTGCTCTCCTTGGCCCACAGACACAAGAGGACCTTTCCCCCCTTTCCCAGTGTCATCTTTCGGCTGGATCGGAAAAAAAGCCTGCCCTTGGAGGTCACGTACAGCCGAAACAATCCCAAAACATATTAGCAGCCACGGGCAACCTCGATAAACATGACATCAGAGAATGCACTGGGGGGTATTCAGAGTATGGGGCTGACCTAGCGGAGAATGCAGAGAAGGCAAGGCCAAGTGGGGGAGGGGGGGGGAGAGAAAGAAGTGACACTAGACAAGCTGCAACCTTTCCACCTAAATTTCTGTCTGCTTCTCTCCAGTCCTAAGCAGAGTTGCACCCTTCGAACTCCGTGGAAGAAAATGGGCTTAGAAGGGTGTAAAATACTGCTTAGGATCGCACTGTTAGTTGCTCATTATGAATTTTGCAGCTAGCGTACTGATCTGCACACAGACTCAACAGCAAGTGCCACAAGCCCAGCACAATAACATACATGGCAGACTGGCCATTCCACTTTCTGGGAAAGCTCTTGGTGGGCTACCGGGGCCAGGAACAAGCAGAGCTGAGGCCCCGTGGCAGCTCCACTAGTGCTGGGGGAGTTGCTGGACTTGTGCCCTTCAAGCAGTGTCAAGGACCAGCGTCTGTTCACCAGTTGCCTCCCCCCATGCCACCTCCAGGAGCAACAGGTGAGCGTCACCATTGGTGACCAGCTCCAAGCTGAGTAGCACTTGCAATGCCGGCTCACAGTGCCGCAGGGACCAGTAAACCTGGGTTGAGACTGAGCCATTTCACGCTTCCCAGACTACCTCTGATAACGCAATACATTTTTGGAGAAACAGGAAAAAATTACGCATTTAAATACAGAGACACTCCTTCTATATACTGTGGGATGAAATCCCCTCTTCCAGTTAGAAGGGGTTTTGTCATGATATGGAACCTGGAGACGCAGCTGGGACCTGAATGCAGCCTCCAAAATTTTTCTATCTACCTACCCTTTTGTTACCGCCATATTTTAATCAAGGGTATGAAAAAAAGGTTTGTCCATATATTGTTTTTGATCCCAGGGTTTTCGTGTGTTTGTGTGTGGGGGGGAGGGATGTTTTCAAGCCACAGCAGACAGGAAAAGCCCCGATTTAATGTGATGCTTCCTTTCGTCTGCAGAAAAAGCACCCCGCCAATGTGTAAAACTTGCAGAAACCCTCTAGAAATATAAACACGCTTCTTTACTTCATTAATTCATCTTCGTTAATTCATCACAGCCATTTATTTCCATTTACACCATCTTCTGCAGGAACTGTTATCTTAAAAGTTGGGTTATATCTCACTTCTCTCATTTTGCGATGGAGGCTCTACATTCTCCTCTATGCTTCATTATCTGATCTTTGCTGCCCACTAATTTGCTGAGGAATGTAATAGACTGAATTTCTTTTCTCCAGTTATAAAGAACAGAACACAAAATTTTCCAACCTCTGTTTAAAAGTGGCTGATATTATTGACCCCTGTGAACAGTACATTGAAATCACAAGGTTGATATTAACTGTCCCCTTTTCTCTCCAGTGGGGACACAAAACAACATTTTCCCTTCTTCCTTTTTATCCTCACCAAAACAACTCTTTGAGGTACATTACTTTAGTCTTAGAGAGAGAGCGTGTGACTAGCTCATGGCCATCCCATGAGCTTCCAACAAACATCGGACCACCATTCACTCTGAAAGCAGAGATGTGCAGCAGTGTGCAACAAAGATCTCCATGGTCAGTGGAGATAAAAATAACAACTCTTATCAAGAACTGTGCTAACCTGAAGGTAGGGAATGCATCCCCCTATCACTGGTCTTATTCAGCACCCACAGTAAAAACAAAACCTCTTTGGAGGTTTTTAAAAAGAGGTGAGATGGCCTTCTGACAGCAATGCTGATTCTGTGAACTTAGGCAGATCATGAGAGGGAGGGCAGGAAGGGTTGCATCAGTGCTTAGTTCTTGTGACCCTTTCTTACATGCCCAGGGAAATTCTGACTGCCACTTTGGGATCAGGAAGCAATTTTTCTCCAGGCCAGTTTGGCCAGGGATCCTGGAGGGTTTTTGTATCTTCTGGGCATGGAACAGGGGGTCACCGGGAGTGTGGAGGGGGAGGTATTTGTGAATTTCCTGCATTGTGCAGGGGGTTGGACTAGATGACCCTGGAGGTCCCTTCCAACTCTATAATTCTATGAAAATACGTGCAGGGCAGACAGTAAAATTCCCTATGGGATATTAAGCTGGCAACATCAAGGAATAGTTATCCTGTAGCCCTGACCAATGTTCCCTCTAAGCTCTGAAGTCTTGTGAGCAAAAATTCTACTTTGTGAGCCACTGGCATTAAAGTTGTGAGCGAGCCATTTGGCTACTGCATAAATCAGTTTGCTCCGGAGCCATCCTTCCTGAGCGAAGACAAAAATGTGTGAGCCGGAGGCTAAAAAACTGTGAGCTAGCTCACACTAACTCAGCTTAGAGGGAACACTAGCCCTGACTAGTCTGAATTTGTCAGAATGGGGAGGCTAAGCAGGGTCAGCCATGGTTAGCACTGGGATGAGGGACCACCAAGGAAGACCAGGGTTGCTATGCAGAGGAAGCCAATGGCAAACCACCTCTGTCAGTTGCGACTTGACAGCACTTAATTATTATTAATTGTAATGATATAAACTTTTCCATAAGTGCAAGACACACCTTTTGACTTCTGTCTTGGAAGCATAATCTAAAGGATCTCTGAACCCCCACCCCCATGTGAAATTTACTCTGTTCTTTGCAAGGTAAATTGTCTTGAGTTTCTCCATTCAAACTCAGATCGAGAAAGGACAGGTGAAGTCAAGGCACTGAAGCTCAAGTTCTGCATGCCAGGCTGTGGCTAAAGGCTCAGAAACACAGGCCAGTAAAATAAAGTTTATTTATTATTTATTTAAAACATTTTTATGTCCCTATTCATCCAATCAGGGCTTCCAAACACTAAAATACTTGAAGAAGTAAAGAGAACATTTGAAAGTATAAAATAATAAAAACACATAAGCAAACAACACCAGAACCAAAAAGGAGGACCAATAACTGCTACTGGAGGTATGCCAAACGAAACAAAAACGTCTTCACCCACTGCTGGAAGACACCAATAGAGGGAGAGAGACAAATCGCCCTGGGGAGGGACTTCCAAAGTTTTGGTGCCACAACCGACAAAGCCCTTTCTTGGGTTGCCACCCATCTAGCCTCGGACGGCAGGGGCAACTGAAGCAAAGTCTCTGAAGATGACCAGAGTGAACAGGTAGGTTCATACAAGAGAAGGCGGTCCTTAAAGTTAGCAACCATACTTCCACTTCGGAATGACTTTAGTAAAAGCACTGGGAAATAAAGGGGAGGGGAAGGCTACAGCATTTCCATGGACATTCATGGTCCACCAAATGAAAAACTGTCATCAGATCTCAAATGCGGAGGAGAGCTGGCCCTGATTAGAACTTGGATGGGAGACCACCAAGGAAGTCCAGAGTTGCTATGCAGAGTCAGGCGACGGCAACCCACCTTTGTTCCTCTCTTTTTCTGAAAACCCTACAGGGTCACCATAAGTTGGCTTTGATGGGATTTTCCACCACCAAATGAAAAAGCAAGACCCAAGGTCTGGTTCCCTTGACCCTCTGTGTGCAGGCAAAGTGTGAAATTGGCTGCATGAGGCCAAGTGGACAGATTACTTCTAAGTACGATGAAATGAGGCACTTCCAAACAACCTTGTATGCTGGCAAGGTATAGTGAGCTAGTGGCTAATTAATAGAAAACAGAGAGTGAGTATAAATGGGCAGTTCTCTCAGTGGAGGTGGGTAAGCAGTGAGGTACCGTAGGGATCAGTACTTGGTCCACTGCTTTTTAACTTGTTCATTAATGATTTGGAGTTGGGAGTAAGCAGTGAAGTGGCTAAATTTGTGGATGATACGAAGTTGTTCAGGGTGGTGAAAACCAGTGAGGATTGTGAGGCACTCCAAAGGGATCTGTCAAAGATGGGCAAGTGGGCGTCAACATGGCAAATGGCGTTCAATGTGGCCAAGTGCAAGGTGATGCACATTGGAGCCAAAAATCCTAAATATAAATACACGTTGATGGGGTCTGAACTGGCAGAGACTGATCAAGAGAGAGATCTTGGAGTTGTAGTAGATAACTCACTGAAAATGTCGAGACAGTGTGTGACTGCAATAAAGAAGGCCAATGCTATGCTGGGGATTATTAGGAAGGGTATTGAAAAAAGATCAGCCAATATCATAATGCCCCTATATAAATCAATGGTGAGACCTCATTTGGAATACTGTGTGCAATTCTGGATATTATAGGATATTATAGCTTTGGAAAAAGTGCAGAAAAAGGCAACTCGAATGATAAAAGGGTTGGAACACTTTCCCTATGAGGAAAGGTTAAGGCGCTTAGGGCTCTTTAGCTTGGAGAAACAAGGACTGAGGGGTGACATGATTGAGGTTTATAAGATTATGCATGGGAAAGAGCAGGTAGAGAAAGAGGTACTTTTCTCCCTCTCTCACAATACAAGAACTCGTGGGCACTCCATGAAATTGCTGAGCGGTCGGGTTAGAACGGATAAAAGGAAGTACTTCTTCACCCAAACAGTGATTAACACTTGGAATTCACTGCCACAGGAAGTGGCAGTGGCTACAAGCATGGACGGCTTCAAAAGGGAATTAGATAAGCATATGGAGCAGAGGTCCATCAGTGGCTATTAGCCACAAAGTATAGATAGGGACTCTGGGGCAAGGGATGCTCTGTCTTCTTGGTGCTTGGGGGGGGGGTCAACAGTGGGAGGGCTTCTAATGTCCTGGCCCCACTGGTGGACCTCCTGATGGCACTGGTATTTCTGGCCACTGTGTGATACAGTGTTGGACTGGAGGGGCCTTTGGCCTGATCCAACATTGGCATCTCTTATGTTCTTATGACAAAGCCAGCCACAACAGAGATTCCCACTCAACCCTGAATAGGAACCTAGAAAGTGATGATGCTATGAGATATGAGCTCATTTGACGCATTCATAGTTACAGTCAAGGTACATTTTACCTCTAGCAATGATATCCAGAAAAGAATAACATCACTTCTATGGGAGATACACCATACAGTCCATAAGGACTCTTTGACACATGCTGATTCCACAATCCCCATCCCTGACTGCCACATTATCTCATTACGAAAATCAATTCAGGGTCAGCACAGGGAGCTGAAAGGCCCGAAACTGAATTATCTTATGTCACTCTCACTCACTCATGCAGATACACATTGCAATCCTAAGAACGGTTTCCAGGGAATAAGTCCCACTGAATAAAATGGGCATGAACAGGCTTGCTTAGGATTGCTCCTGGAGACATTCCTGCCACACACACCAAAACAGAAGCACATATCACCGTTATCACACTTCAGGGGGGAGGCACTGCATTTTCTTTTTGTGCAGGTCCTCCAGCAGCCGGCACAGGCTGAAAACCCCACACGCCAGAGAATCACCGCAGAAGAATGACTGGCAGGTGTAGGAGCAACCCAGAGCCACAGGCAGTGGACACCCTGGCCTTGCCAAATATGCTCGAGGGTCAGAAGGCAAACAAAAGCTGGCCCTTTTCATCAGCCTCATGCTATTTTTGGAGTTCCACCGGCAGGACCAGATGCCTGTTGCAGACGTTAGACACGATTGCCAGCATGAGATTTATTGCTCTGCTATTTGCACATCTTTGCTGGATTCCCGCAGATGTTGGGGAGAAGAGAAACCAGACGGAAATCCATCCCCCACCCCCGCTGCCTTTCTTAGGCAGAGGCACAGAAATAGCAATACTCACAGCATCTTGAGTATCTCCACGTAGCAACCAAGGACACGATCCGCCTGCGGGCTGAGCTCGATGCTCATGGTGCTGCAGGTGGGGCTGACCATCAAGCAGTCGATCAGGTTGGGCTCGCTGTCATTGCCGACATTGGCCGTCATCTTCTGGTTGGCCGTGTTGTTGCGCTCGACTTCCACGTGGACCTCATTGGATGTGACAATGACGGACTTCAGACGAGACTCGGTCAAGGTGGCCTCTTGGGACACCAGGTCGGGGCTTGTGTGGAGGAGACGGAGGGGCAAGTTGGGCTTGCGGTCACACGGCTGCTGGCAGCCGTTCCGAATTTCCTTCAGGCTCGGCGAGTTGTCCCGGCTGAAGTTTGTTGTTTTTTTAAGAAAAGGAGAGCGTAAATAAGTATAACAGCCAGACATAACAGAACAGAGCAGGAAAGGAGGCCAGATTGTGAAGCTGAACTGTGTTGCAGTGGCTGAGGTGGAATTCTTGTATTGTTTTGTTTTTGCGTCTGTTACAATTGCTTGATCCTATTTATACCAGAAGAAAAACAAACATCTCCAGAAAGAATTTCCACCACAAGACCTCTCTCTTGAAAGTTTGCAAACTCCACTGTAACAGGGAGGAATGCGGCTCTCCTTTCCGATGACGCACTCACTGCAATGCAATATGTATTCTGGTATGCAGCTGGCTACAGATCAGGAACCAGGAACTGTTTTTGCTGAAGAGCCCATTTGAAGAAGGGGCAGAAGATGGCGGACCAGGACATCTTCACCCAACAGCTTGCTCATGTCCCTACTCACACTCCTGCTTCTGGACTGGCAATGGCAGGGGATGAGGAAAGGATACCATGCATGCATGCATATTTGGCCTAGGGCCTTCCAGTTGTTCATCCCTTCAGTAAACCATCATAAAGTTCATCTATCAAAAGACGAACATATATGCATGTGAATGTCACACATGTTAAAGGTGATGTTTTCCCCACAATCCAGGGAAGCAGAGTCCCAATTCTTTACAGATCACCAGTGTATTTTACAGGGAAAGCCAGAGCCATTTAAATGTGCAGTCTCCTCTCATACCTGAGGCACCGCCATATATATTTTGTTCTTGGGTGTCCAAAACCCCAGCACAATAAGGCATGAATCAACCACAAGCATCCATGTGGAATCAACCACAAGCATGAATCAACCACAAGCATGCATTGTGAAGGTGGGTTGGGAATGGGACGTCCAGAGAACTGACCTGTTGATGAATTCTTCATAGCAAGAATAAATGGCCGCTAAGCAGACTGCAACGAGGTTTGGTAGGACCCTGGGATGGGGGCACTGCCCGGTAGGACCGTGCATGCTGGAACAGAAACAAAACGGTAACTGTCTAGGAGTGCAAACAGGGCAAATATCATTGCAAAACCTGCCCCCTCCCCCCAGGATCTAGGGATTCCAAGTGCAGCATGTAACTAGAGGGTGTTGAGAAGGCTATGTACATAAATTTCATGCATCTTGAAATTAAGATTCAGCAATCGGGGATGAAAGTAAACTGGTATGGAGTACTGGTGAGAAAGAAGCCAAAGTAGTACCCCCCCCCCCATCTTCTGCTCTGAGCCCTGTCATGAAAGACCAGTAAGAAATTTATCAGTGTGTTCCTAAGTAGAGTTATACCCTCCTAGTTCCTTTGCAGGTGATAGGCTTAGAAGGGTGTTCTCTCTCTTTGGGATAGCCATGCAAGTTACTTTCACCCGTTGACGATATTTGGGACCAGTGAGGAGAGAGTGGCTGAGATGAAGCCAACTGGGGAGAGTGTTAAAGGATTAACATGCTAACAGCGGCATTCTAAGCAGAAGTTATACCCTTCCAATCCATTGAAGTCAATGGGTTTAGAAGGATGTAGTTTTGCTTAGATTGCACTCTGTGTGTGTGTGTGCGTGTGTGCGTGTGTGCATGTGTGTGTGTGTGTGTGTGTGTGAGAGAGAGAGAGAGAGAGAGAGAGAGAGAGAGAGAGAGAGAGAGAGATTGTAACTCAGCAAGCACTGACCTATGAATAAATTTCTTCACCACTTCCATGCCAGCGTTGAGTTCGTTCAAGGCCAGAATGTACTCCTGAGTAAAGAGCCTCAACCGAGGGCACTTCCCAAAATCCTGCTCGATAAAGAAGAAAGGATGATTAACGTCTCGGACAAAGTCAGCAAAGCCTTCAAACTATGAAAAAAAAATGTGCCTGACATATTTGAACAATGTGGAAGCGTAGGTCACCTTGTTATCCCTCCGCCCTTCTGCAATGGTAAGAGTCATCAAAGAGAACCTTTTCTCCCAAAATACTAAAATTCGAGGGCATCCGGTGAAGCTGATGGGCAGTAGATTCAGGACAAACAAAAGGAAATGTTACTTTACACAGCGAGTGATTAAAATGTGGAATTGGCTGCCAGAGGATGTAATGATGGCCACAGGCATAAGACACCTTCCAAGGGGGATTTGACAGATTCATGGAGGATAGGCCTATCTGTGGCTGCCTAGCCATGGTGACTGAAGAGAACCTCCATGTTCGGAGGCAGTCAGCCTCTGAATCCCAGTGCCAGGAGTCAACGGCAGTGGAAGGCCTTTAGCCTCTGTGCTGGAACTCCAGAGGAACTGCTTGGCTGCTGTGTGAGACAGGATGCTGGACTAGATGGGCTCTTCTTGTGTTCTTATGGTCTGTTCTAATTGGCAGCTGCTCTCCAAGATCTAAACCAAAGGAAGATCTGGGATCCTTTAGATATTAAATCTTCTTTTAAACAGAAAAGCTACATCAATAAAAGGATACTGATGCCCTACAGAAATAAATACCTGTATATTATGTCAGTGTTTACAACCCAATCTCCACAAATGACATTTCGATTTTTTAAAATATGCATTGATACTCAGTTTCTTAAAAAAGGGTAGGCTATTATTTTAAAACTCCCCGCTGCTTTGTGATATACGCGTCTTGCAAATCAACAAATTAATATTCCGGAACGGAAAGGTCCCAGGAGGCTCTCTTTGAATGTGTATATAGTCCCTTCATCTTGAGCCTGACCCTGACCCCAACCCCAACCCTTTTAGTGCATACACCTTCCACCTTTCTTGAAACTGCTTCTGTTAATTAAGTTCTGATAGCATCTGAGCACAGCCCTTTGGGACTGCACCAGGTTGGAATATGGACCAGGAAGCACAGAAGTGAGAACATCCTTAGAGTTAAAGGGTTCAATTAAATAATTAAAATGGTTCGCTTTAAAAACTAGTTTCCTGTTCCCCTTGAAAGTAAGTCTCTGGGTTTGATGGACTACAATTATAGCTTAAACATCGTATCATTCACACCAAATCACCACTTCGCAGGCATTGGGGACCTAAAGGCTGATGTTTTAAAAGGTTATTTACAGACTGTTTTTACCAGCTTTTCCAGGTATTTTAGGACATTGGGCAAAGGACCATACAAATATGAGCCCCATGAGAGAGGCACCCTGACTGCTGCAATGCAATTCTACAGAATCTGCTGGCAAGACACTTTGCTTCTTCTTTTTTTATACGAAATTCCTCCATCCGTTGTCTCACAATGCCTGTTTGAGCACCTCTTGGTTCAACTGCAAACAGAAGCATATGAGATCAGAAAAGGAATCTCGATGTTTTGACTGATTTATGCCTCCACTTACACCACCACTAGAATAACAAATGTTTCTATGACATCACGCATGGCAGCCATCCAATCCCATCACAGCTAAAACAGCAAGCTCTGTTCACAGGCTGTTACAGCTGGGGCCATTCTGAGCCTGCAAGCAAAACTGCAATGGACTGAATGACTCCTCTTCTACTAGCTAAGAAGTCTCCCTCCTATGGAAGGATCCTCCTTCTGACACAAACGGCTTCCTCTGTGGGAGGAAGACTCTTTCTTTACTGGAAAGCGAATCATCATATCCAACCTACGGCTGCCGCAAACAAATAACATGGCTTCTCATTGGATAGCCAGCCTCACTGTTTGATTCAAATCTGTAACTAAAGAACAATCTCAGAAGTTGTAACGGAAGAAAAATCCTTCCTTCCCAAGTATAATCTAAATTTTACACTGTTTCCAATTGGACTTTCCAAAACCAAATCATGGTTAACTAACTGGGATATTCAAACTGCTGTTCTCCCTCGAACCCTCCCAGCTTTTTTTGTGGGTGTGGTGGTGCATATTCCATTCTTTTAAATGAATGAAAGGAATCAGACTTCACACCAGACTCTTAAGCATTTGAGATTCTTGCAGCCACGTGTGAAAATGTGAACAGTCTGCAATCCTGAGCATGAGCCCAGCTGTTCCTCAGTTAGCTGCAAAATAACCTTAGAAACATTTCTTTACAAAGCTGCTTGTAAACCAAGATCACTAAGAGGTGATGCATAAACAGTGGCTTAGAGCCGGAGCTACGGATCAGGAAGTCCCTGATTTGAATCTCGCCTTTGGGATGACCCCAATAAGTGGACCTTGGCAGACTCTCAGCCCCTCTCTCTTGCAATAGGGTGATGACAATACTGGGCTACCTAGCAGGATTGTTGTAAGGATTGCAGCAAACTATCAGGGACAGGCATGAAATGGCTCATGAGCCAAAATTTGGCATGAACTTCGGCCAGCTCGGAGCCTTGGGAGGCATCAAAGTTCTCACTTGGTATGCCCCTCCTGAGTTGTATGACACATGGAAGTACCACCTTCAAAGTGTCCCATTACTCCATTCATCTCAGCCTTAGGAGCATTTGGATAATGTAACCAAATGGAGCAACAGAGCACTCTGAAGGTGAGTTTCTTGCAATGTCATATGTGTGACTATGTCAGTTGGGCACCCATGATCTAGTATGTGTCACACATGTTGTGTATTTTGGCCCTAAGGGCCAGTGTCAGGAAAAACCTTCCTCTGCTTGAGACTCTGGAAAGTCATTGCCATCCAGAATATGGGACACTGAGTTCGATGGACCCCTGGTCTGACTTGGAGAAAGACAGCCCCCACAATCAAACACTTTTGTTTGCTTATGTTCAAGTTTTTAAAAGATTGCTTGCTTTGTTTTCCTGCTCTGTCATAATTTAGATTTTAAACACTTAGGGCCCTTTTTGTTTTTCAAGTGTCACGTACATTGACAATACTGTCTAAATAATAAATTGTGGGCATAACGGAGGAAAATGAACAGCAAGAGAGGGGCTCCGGTGCAGATATCTGAGGCATTTCTTTTTAGCACATTCAAGAGTCTATTTAGTCAACTATTCCCTGGGGGCCAGTCACGTACTCCAAACCACTCCAATTTAATTTTTATATTTGGTGCTTCAGATGCTTCATGTGTGTACTGCGGAGCAGACATGTTGATTCCCCCCCCCATCTGTAAAAGTTAAGTACATAAAACATGCCCAATTATCTTTAGCTACAACCCAAAACAAGCAATGCAGTGTGCCGTTTCGTTTCATTCCAGATCTTGCGAAAGAGATGGCTATTTTTGGTGTGGCTGCTGTTTAATTTTATTTTAAGGTAACCATCCATGTTCCAAGAACAACATTTTGTTTACAGAACAGGAATAACAACAACAACAACAACAACAATAATAATAATAACAGTAATAATAACAACTAATATCGTTGTTGTTGTTGTTATATTATAAGATATATTAATTAGCTAAGCTTCTTAATGAGGCCCGTAAACAAATGTACAACTAAGACAGAGGGATGCGTGGAGCTAAATCTATAACAGTCAGTACTGAACATTTGCTCTGTGTCACGCTCAGAACAGTCATGACTAAGAGGCAGAATGCTGAGATCTGGTGGTGGGCTGGGAAGAAGAAAACAGAACAGTATAACCAGGCCAGAGTAAAGGGGGCAGGAGAAGAAGAGGCAAAAGAAAGGGATCTGTGAGTGGGGGGGGGGGTGAGGGGGTTGCTCCATTCCTACCTAACTCCACTATGATGTAGATGATGAGACACTGGGGAGAAAACCAGACAGGTAGGGAAGAAGAGAGAGTGAAGTAGGATAGAGAGGGAAGGGTGGGTGGGGCAAAGGTCTAGGGGCCTCTTCCATTTATTTATAAAGCTTTTTTGGTAAAAGAAAAAAATCCAGCCTCTCCATGATAAGCACACAAGGCACCTTTTACCAAACAAGATGGAACAATTTATAACGTTGATCCAACAATCATATTAAATTAACAACACTGAACATGCCAAGGGAAGAGATTCAACAGCAATAGCCAGCTGCCTACAGCCAAGAGGAAAAGGGAAGTACTGATATTTTAATACATGAATTGGAAAAAAACTCAAGTAGGCCTTGATCTTCCTAAGTGAATGCCCTGGAAAACAACCAGTGAATGTGTGTTTCTAAACAATAACATCACAGGTGCCAAGAGAACAATTACCACAGAAGGCGTTCTAAAGAGAAGGCGGTGCCATTGGAAGGGCCCTTGCCCTGGCTGCCACACACCTAACCTCCGGAGGTACTCGGGGGACAGGGCCTTGGATGCTTCTCACCCTACAATACGTTGGGTGGACGAAGAGAAACGATTTAGGAACGGAGTGATGCCAAAGAGCTCTCTCTGTCTGACATGTGACGCGTAACGTCTGGACTCACCATGTTGTGTTTGAGGATTCTCTGCACAACTGGAGTGAAGACTTCTATGACCACCATGGACCGAGGGCGTTCTCTGCAATGCTGCAGAAAGACAAAAGACAGTGAGAGTGAGCTACATTGCCAGTATCTTTCTTCAAAGCCCAGCACAAAGGCTATTCTTTCTGGAACTCCCCAAATACACTGGGCAGGATGCAACCCAGGGAAGTCATACTGATTTCAATGGCAAAATGAAGAACCATGTACAAACTTTTCCTGTTGGAACCAATAGGATTAAAAAATGCTCAGTTTTGGGTAGACCCCTTGCCTGTAAAGAGTCTGTTTCTAACATTACACTATCTAATTGGCTCTGCAAACCAAAAGAGATGCTCTGAGGTCACTATTCTCCCCAATTTTTTTTTGCCTTTCCTCCATCGAGTTACATGCAAGTATATAGTAGGATCTGGGAAACCAGAGGTCAGATCCCTGCTCTGCCATGACCTAACCTACCTCAGGGGCTCACCAACCTGGGGTTAGGAAATTCCTGGAGATTTGGGGATGAAGCTTGGGAAGGGAAATTGGGGAGTGGAGTGCTTCGCTGAGGTATAACGCCACAGAGTCCACCCTCCAAAGCAGCCATTTTCTTCAGGGGAACTGATCTTTGCCATCTGGAGAGCAGTTGTAATCCCAGGAGATCTCCAGTCACCATCTGGAAGTTGGCAACCCAAGCATCATGGTGCCTGCTGACACCTTTCCTGGCCCACTAAGTGCTTTTAGAAAGTGGGTAGGACCTTCCTAGCAGAGGTCATGGGGATTTAAAGTGATAAGTTCTTTAAATCCCCAGGCAACCCTAGATGTTGGTCAAATGCAAGAGGAGAGAACTACGTACACGAGTTCCTTGGAAGAAGGGCAGAATGAAAATGTACTGCACTGGGACATGGAGAGGCCGGGAGAATAACTAGCCCACAATCACTTAGGAAGCTTCATGGCTGCGTGGGAACTTGAAGCTGAGTCTCCACAGTCTAACCTGATAGGCTAACTACGATAGCACCCTGACTCTGAAGGATACCGAGCCACCTTTGTGTATTTTCAGTGCTGGGTTGTCAGAAAACAAGGCAATCCAAAGTATATGGGTTGGAGAAAATTCAGAAGGATCATGGAAGGCCGTTTAGCAAAGAGGAACACAACCCAATATAAACATTTGCACAGCACAAATTTTGAGTTTCACATTCTGTAGTCCATTAATCATAGAGCATTCTGTAACTGACACAAATCTGAGATCCCAGAAACTTGCTCTGAAGTGCAACAGACTTCTTCAAACGACAGCAACCTAACTAAAGAAATGTATGCCCCCCCAAATCTCAGAGCGTCATTCAATACTACAATAACAGTTTACTTACAGAACAAAGTTTGAGTCCAGTGGCACCCTGAAGACCAACAAAGTTTAATTCTGGGTATAGAAGAAGAAGAAGAGATTGGATTTATACCCCGCCCTTCACTACCCAAAGGTGTCTCAGAGCGGCTTACAAACTCCTTTCCCTTCCTCTCCCCCCCAACAGACACCCTGTGAGGTAGGTGGGGCTGAGAGAGCTCTTAGCAGAAACTGCTCTTTTTCAAGGACAGCTCTTATCAGAACTACGGCTTGCCCAAGGTCATCCAGCCAGGTGCAAGTGGAGGAGTGGGGAATCAAACCCGGTTCTCCCAGATTAGAGTCCACTCACTTAACCACTACACCAAACTGGCTCTCAGCTTTTGTGTGCACATGCACATGAAAGTTTATAACCAGAATTCAACTTTGTTCGCCTTAAAGGTGCCACTGGATTCAAAACTCTTTTCTGCTGCTTCAGGCCAACATGGCTACCCACCAGAATTTATTTACAAATGCACATTTCAAAAGCATTAAAAAGGGTAACATTTTCATGTGCTAGTCAGGGTTTAAAAAAAAAAAAAAAAAGGTGCCAGAACTCTCAAGAGGGAAATGAAGTTTTCAATCTGTATACCGAAAACTAACGAACTTTTAAACATTCTAAAAAGAATTTTGAAGAGGTTCCGGAACGCCGTTCCCCCAGAAAAAAAGCCCTGGTGCTAGTAAAATCTTCAATAAAACTATTACGAGATTGTTAAACTGTGAAATTAATACATACAGCAGGCGGTTATATGGGTGGGTTTTGTGATTTAACAAGTTCATGATTTAATGAAAAGTGCATTACAATTTATGCTGCTTTTGAAATGTGTATGTGTAAATAAACTAGCATAGCGTGAATGATTTTGTGAGGCTTAGTTCTTTTACTATAATGGCTTCTTCTAAACAGCCCTTGGAATTATGGTCTGGCAAAGAACTTAGATGTCTTAGTTGGAAATACCTTGCGACCTTCTCACAGAAAATACAATATTCAGGGTTCCCAGAAAATTGGCAGATATGAGTATAACTCAAAACAGAGTTACACCCTTCTAAACCCACTGACTTCAAAGGATTTAGAAGGGTACAACTCTGCTTATGATTATACCGTGAACCAGTTTAAGTCTAGAGAGTAGATATGACCTGAATAAAGGAAATAACCATATTCTTGATTTTTTAAAAAGAACATTCAGAAATACCTTGCAAAAAAATTCACATAAATCTGGAGGTGGATGGTTATTTTCCAGCAAAGGAGCAATTGCCTGAAAAGAACAGGGAAAAAGAAGTTTATGCATTGCTAGTTGCCTGAATCAGGACAAAGAAAAGGATATTAAATGGGAACAAAGCAAAATATTTTCTACGAGCCCACCCACCCCCGACAAGACTGCCATAATTTCTCTAGGCCCCAGAACAAAGTTATTATCCACCACAATCCCAACACAGAAATGCACTGTCATGAGTCATACAAGAAAAACATAATTTACTTTTGAAATATCATGTATTATGTTAATGGGCTTGCAGCTGGACCCTGTAAAGCGTACCCCCCCACACACAATACTTGGGGGTTCTGGGTAAGGTGAGCATTCTGTTCAGGGATGGAGGAAAAGGATCTCAATGAAAGGAGTCTTTCATACATCAGCCTCCTCACCCTGCACTCATTCCCTGGGCAATTTCCTTTTCCAGGATCTATTCAGACAGTGCATTCTATCTATCTGCTGCTTCTTCCAGCTCCCTGGGCAAGAAAAAAACATCCATGGAAGGTAGAAGAAGAAAAATATGACAAGATAACAGAGATAGCATGGACGGCTTCAAAAGGGAATTAGATAAGCATATGGAGCAGAGGTCCATCAGTGGCTATTAGCCACAAGGTATAGATAGGGACTCTGGGGCAAGTGATGCTCTGTCATCTTGGTGCTTGGGGGGGGGGGGTCAACAGTGGGATGGCTTCTAATGTCCTGGCCCCACTGCTGGACCTCCTGATGGCACTGGTGTTTCTGGCCACTGTGTGATACAGAGTGTTGGACTGGATGGGCTTTTGGCCTGTTCCAACATTGGCATCTCTTATGTTCTTATAGCATGGTTCTTGTTTGGAGGACTGAGTTCTTCTAATGCATTCTGGAGGAGAATGCTTATTCATCTATATCAGACTGATAGATGACTACTGCTCTAATAATGCAACTGCTTGCAGGATAAGACCAAGGTCTATCTTGTCCAGCATTCTTTGTCCCAGAACAGGCACCCAGATGTTTCTGGGCAGTGACAGGCAGGATATGGACACGGTGGTGTTCCCAAAAGGCTTTTTCTCAGCATCTGGTTCTCAGAATTATGAGGCAGACGTCTCATCTTAAAGCCATCTCAGGGTATTTACTAGAGTTGACAGGCCTGTGCACAACCCCTAGGAGCTTTGGGAGTGTAGCACGGGGAGGGGAAGCGTCGATCTATGTTGCAATGTCGTTTCCAGATGAAACATCATTCTGCCTCACTTCCCCCATTTCCCTCCTGCCACTCATTCAAGCAGTGGCGAGGGCCAGGAGGCAGTTGTGGGAGACCTCTCACTATCTTGGGTAAGCTGGCAGCCCTATTATGTACAAACATAAGTATTTTAGGAGTGAGCCTGCTGTGCAAATACTTTCACTACATTTTGGGTCGATTCTGTTCTTCCCCAGAAAGGCAGGGCATAAATATTTTAGATAAACAAATAATACATATACTGTTTTCTCCCCCCCCCCGGAGCCAATTTCATCAGTAGCTCAGATCTGCGTAATGCTGATTAACGTGGCCATGTGACAATCATGGAGCTCCTCCCACCTGCACTCTGAGCAGCTTGTCAAGAATTATGAAACTGTTGCGAAATCTTGAAGGTTTTCTTTTTTAAAAGTGATGATCAGATAACTTTGTAAGTCGGTTAACCACCAAAGCAGACAGGATCTCTCAAAACACCGGTGAAATGACACTCAGGGTTCCATTTGTGTGTTTGTTGGAAGAACAAAAGGCAAAGGAAAGCAGAGTTCTCTCCACAGAAGAAATCCCATCCCACTTTTGTTCGAAGGTATGCCCACACGGATCCAAAGCTAGTGTCCACCTCTGTGGAAGCGAGTCCCGCCCCTTCGGACACATTTAACCTAGAAATAAGGGGGCCTGCTCCTTCCCTCTTGTGAGCAGCATGCTGCAGACCCCCTGGGCTCCTCTACTGTGTGAGAGCCCTAGTCTACAGATCCTTGTGTGCCACAGCAGGTGGTGCACGGAGGGACTTTTGCACCCCAGGGATCCCGGGGGCCCACTCGACCATGAGCCCGGCAGAGGGTGCCACGTTATGTGGCCCAGGAGGGAAAGTGAATTTGGGAAAGGGAGTCTTGAGTTTTCAAAAAATCTGAAGAACGTGACTAGTTTACTGAATACCACAACATACATTTTGGATCAGGTTTCTTAACAGCTACTGACTATGACTTAAAAAAGAAACTTTTTTTAAAAAAATAGATAATTACGCAGATGCCAACAGTAATGCAAGAATACACAGAAGCTGCTACCCTCAGTCACGTCAGTCACATAATTTGTTCGCAAGAATCGATGAACAAGCACTGATCTTGATTAAATGTATTTATTATCTGCCTTCCCTTCGTACCAACGCACGTGGTTCGTTATTTTTGACATTACTGCCTAGTCTCATGACTCAGCTATTCATCTTGATATTCTATCTTCTTTTCCATATGTTTTTAAAAATATTATATATTTTATTATCATATATATATGTATATATATGTATATATATATATGTATAGGTAAAGGTTCCCTTGCTCGAAATCCAGTCGAATCCGACTCTAGGGTTGCGGTGCTCATCTCCGTTTCAAAACCGAAGAGCCAGCGCTGTCCAAAGACATTTCCGTGGTCATGTGGCCAGCATGACTAAACACCAAGGCGCACGGAACGCTGTTACCTTCCCACCGAAGTGGTACTATTTATCTACTTGCAATTTCTTGCTTTCGAACTGCTAGGTTATATATATATAATAATATAGTAATAATGACACAGCCATCCAGTAAATGCATGAAGTAAGAATTACCCTGAGTAAACATGCTGAACAAGCTTTCTCCAATTGGAAAGCACAGGAACCAGAGCTGATCTTGAGAAGATTAAAAAATATCTAGAGGAGACTCCACTATCTAAAGTAAGCAGTGAATATAAAGACTTATTAAATTGTTTACCAAAAAAAAAAAGGAAAGCACAAAGTTCTTTTTTTCTCTTCTGACCCAAATGACTAACACAGGTGTTAAGTGGATGGGAAAGCTAGTAAAAATGTTTGTTGCAGACTTTTAAAAATTATATTCAATTTTTCTGTCATTGAAGAGCTCAAAGCAGCCTACCTAACATTGCCCAGAGGGCTCCAATCCAGGCACTGAGCAAACTTGGACTTTCTTTGCTTTAGTAAGATTCAACTACTTACAATACTCATATGGTCTGACTGTTATCGACCAGGGCCAGGGTGTTTTCAGCCCTGGCCCCAACCTGATGGAACTCTCTGTCTAATGAAACTTGAGCCCTGTGGGACTTGGCTCAATTCCACAGGGCCTGTAAGACCGAGATATTCCACGGGGTGTATGGTTGAGGACAGTGGCAGCTAGAAAGATCACCTGGGCTCCCAATTATCGGGCCGCGAATCTCGCTGTACTGGTTGCCCCCTTAGTTATCCACCTCTGAAGGCTTGTTGGGGCACAATCCGATATGACACGATAGAGTGATTCTTAACTGTAAGGTTTGGTTTTAAACTGTGGTGTTGATTTTATTGTATTTAATTGCTGGAAGCTGCCCTGAACCCTGCCTGGCAGGGAAAGGAGTGGAATAAAAATCAAATAAATAAATATACACAACCTTACCCTTATGGCTCCAGGTGGCTTATAATTCCAAGATTCAAAGCATACAAACACACACACACACACACACACACACACAAAACCATTAACACACCTCCATAAGAAAATGCCTGCAGCTTAAACCCCATTAAAAGCTGTCAAAAATAAAATGGCCTTAGTGTGTGTGTCTGAAGTGCCATCAAGTGGCAGACAACTTATGATGACTCCAGGCAGGAGCACTTCCTAAAAAAGAAAGTTCCCCCCTCACTGGCAGTCTTTAAACAGCGGCTGGACAAACACTTGTCAGGGATGCACTAGGCCAGTGATGGCGAACCTTTTAGAGACCGAGTGCCCAAAACCCACTTATTTATCACAAAGTGCCAACACGGCAATTTAACCTGAATACTGAGGTTTTGCTTTAGAAAAAACAACTCATACATTAACTTAAGATGATCCAAACAAAGTAAGGAAAGCAATCCCAAATGCTTTCATTTACTTAAAATTATTTGGCAGAGAATTCGACACATTAATGACGGTCTGGGCCTGGCTGGGGCGATGGCACGCATGCCTTAGGTTCGCCACCACTGATCTAGTCCAACCCCCTGCCCAATGCAGGATCAGCCTAGAGCAGTGGTGGCAAACCTATGGCACGGGTGCCAGAGGTGGCACTCAGAGCCCTCTCTCCCCTTCCAACTCTGTGATTTCTATGATTCTAAAGGACTGTGCCCCCTCACTTCTTTGGAGAACCTGTTCCACAAGAGGAAGCCCCTATAGAAAAGGAGTAGTCTCTGCTGGGTGCCAATCAGCCACCAGAAGTGGAGGAAATAACTAGAAGGAGGCAACTAGAACACCATAATTGGTGAGCAGGGAAGCATAGGGAAAGCCAGTCTTTGAGGTATGTTAAGCCCTAGCCAACTCAGAGCTTTAAAGGTCAGAATCAGCATCTCAAATTGAATTCAGAAACAAACTAGCAGCCAACATAGCTGTTTTGAAAACAGGCAAGATGGGTTCCTGTGTGGTGTTGGTGGCAAGTGCTGTCAAGTGGCAGACGATGTACAGTGTGCCCCAGAGACCACATGTGCCCCAGAGAGCACTGAGGTCAGGGACACAGAGTCGCCTGGCTCTCCCTGGCCCGAGAGACGCCAGGTGGGCTAAGAAGAAGAAGAAGAAGAAGAAGAAGAAGAAGAAGAAGAAGAAGAAGAAGAAGAAGAAGAAGAAGAAGAAGAGAGTGGATTTATGCCTTTTCAGTGGCGGCTGCACACTGGTGGAATGAGCTCCGGGATAACATCAGGACCCTGTGGGACCTTTTACAGTTCCGCAGGGCCTGTAAAACGGAGTTCTTCCACCAGGCCTTCGATTAGGAGCCGCCACTGATGAATGTGCCACCGGAACATGCTATGGCCCATATAAAACACCAGTGGATACTGCCTCCCTTGAAGGGATTGTATATTGATGCCGCCATCACCTGCACCGTTCCTCTTAGATTTTATGACGTTAGGTGGTCGTTTATGTATATTTTGTTGTGTTTTAGTGTACTGACTGGTTTATTGCTTTTAATGTTGTCTGCCGCCTTGAGCCGGGTCCCGGCAAGGCGGGATATAAATTAATAATAAATAAATAAATAAAATGATGCGGGGACCCCAAGGCAAGAGACGGAGAGAGGTGGTTTGCTGTTGCCTGCCTCCGTGTCACGACCCTGGTGTTCCTTGGAGGTCTCCCAGCCAGGCCCAGCCCTGCTTAGCGTCTGAGATCTGACAAGATCGGGCCAGCCTGGGCCATCTAGGTCAGGGCTCCTGTCAGCCTAGCCCCTAACAGAAGTCAGGCTGCCTCATTCTGAGCTTGTTGCTGTTTCTGGGTTGTCTTCAAGGGGCAGCCCAGCATAGAGCATGTTACCCTATTCACAAAGGCTGTGCAGGGTTCAGGAGTGCCTGCAGCAAAAAGACAGCTTGGCTTGTGGAAGCATCTGAGCTTTTCCGGCTCCTTTGAAGTCTGGCTCCCCCACCCCCACCCCCACCCAAACAAACCTTTAATTTTCCAGTCACTGGGCTCATCCTTCCCTGTCCATCACTAGGCAACTCAATGCAGTTACATGCCATAAATGCATTAGAGGGTTACGGCTGATGCGATTCATGTAATGAAATCATGTCACTGTGGTCTCCCATTGGAAATTACAATGTAATTCTAGAACAAAGGGTTCTTAGCACAATGGGGAGGCCCCGGGGCTTTTCAGTCCTTCAGCAAAGGGATTCCTGGTATCCGTTTAAGAATTAGAACTCCTGATGCACAGCGGTGGAGACAGTTTGCACTGCATCTTTTTAACACCTCGGTTCCCTGCCCTCACGTCTCAGCCCCTTCAAAGCCCCCCCCCCCAATCCCTGAGGGGCCAGGCTTCAGATGGCCAAAAACACCACAAGGAAGCCAGAGGGGCTGTGGCTCAGTGGCAGAGCACCTGCTTGGCATGCAGAAGGTCCCAGGTTCAATCCCTGGCATCTCCAGTTTAAAAAGGACCAGGCTCCCAGGTGATGTGAAAGACCTCTGCCTGGGACCCTGGAGAGTCACTGCCAGTCTGAGTAGACAATACTTTGATGGGCCAAGGCTCTGAGTCAGTGTAAGGCAGCTTCATATGTGAAAGGAACAATGCATGTAAACAGACCAAACTGTCTTCCAGTCTTTGTCCCATTTAGTGTGGAGTAAGTTGTTAAGAGAAATTCTCTTAATTCTTCTTTATCCAAGTTGTCTCTGAAATCCAATGATCCATGGTGGGTTCCCCCCCCTCCCCCGGAATTTGGAGTCTGTAAAATCAATTCTGTTTGTATCAAAGAGAAATCTAAAGACAGAGGGAATTTCTGCAGCATTTCAGAATTTCACTCTGTAGATGCTCAGAGGCAAGCAATGTCTCCCAAGCCTTCCTATCCTCCTGCTAGAGTATCACTCTGTTGTTGCATGAGCATGAAACAACTGCAAGGGCTAAAAGTTAGGAAAGGGGGTGTTGATTACTCTACAGAGAGGAATGGAAGAAAAATCCTGCTTTTAAAACGAGAAAAAAAATGACTTTGAAGAGTCAATGGCTATATCTACAAAAGTGACTTCTGTAAAAACAAATTCCCTTTCGCATAACAAAACAGGAGGAAGTAAACACTGAACCACGCAGACACAAAGCATGTTTTCCGCAACAGTGCTAACACACACCCTCTCAGCATGCAAAATTCAACAAAAGCTCTCTACCCCTTTAAAATACTTCCAAGAGGTGGATCTCGACCAAATCTTTCTGGACTTAGAATGACCCTGGGGCCACTCCGGGTCAATTCCAGAGGCATGTTCTGGAGTTTTGTGCTTCCCAGAAGGGTGTAGGACCAATTTCGATCAGGACCCTGGGTCCTGCTGAGAGGGAACTTATACCCTCCCCACCCTCAGGCTGCGTGCCAGGATGGCAGAGCGATCAGAGTGCCGGACTAGGATCTGTGAGGCCCAGGTCTGAATCCCCACTCTGCCACGGGAACACACGGTCACATGCTGTTGGTCTCACCTACCTCACAGGATTGTTGTGAGGAGAAAATGGAGACGGGGAGAATTTTGTAAGCTTCTTTTGGTCCCCACTGGGGGAAAAAGTGAAGTATAAAGGAAGTAAATAAATACATCAATAAACCTACCACAGGTTTAGAGGAAACGTACCATGGTATCTAGGGTGGGCTGTTCGAAGTATAAACAAAGTAAATAAATTTTCCTACTCTGAAACAGCCCCAGGGAGTTGCTATTTGCCTCACTAGGGGCTCTACATGTACTGATGAGTACACGTTATTCCCCCCACCCCCCGGCAAGGCAGTAGCTCCCCGGGACCATTTCAGGTTCAGAAAAATGGTGGTGGGGCGGTAGAGAGTTCGAAGCTCCTTCTCCCTGTATGTCACAGTCCCAATCCATATTTGGCCTCTGCATGCCTAGGAAGCACGGAACTCCAGAATGGATCTCTCGAGGCGATCCAGGGACGTCTCCATGGGAAATATAACATGGAGCTGGCCCCCCAGTCTGGCTCCGATTCTTGATAGAAGCAAATGACACAGAGTTCTACATGTCCCCCACTTCCCAAACAGTATTAATTTCTAAGTACACCCTCCCTACTTACTCCTGTCACCAAGATCACTATAGGCACCTTGCCCCTTGGTTGACCACTCACAGGAACCATAAGCACCATCTTGGATGCCTCCTTCTCACCCAAGTCTACTTCATTTCAGGTCAAGATCTGCTTGTACCTTAGCGATTTCTGCTGCTACCTCCCAAACAAAGTGTCCTCAAATAATTCCCCTCTCTCTTTTTTCTCCCAGCACATTCTGCCTATTGATATTAGGTATTAACTAGGAGCCCAAATTAGCCTAGCCACTATTTGGGATAGAAAGGAAGGCAACTGTTGCTTTGGAAATTGATTGCCATGACTACCACCCAGCTCAAGTGGACTCCTGAGTGGCGGTTAAGTGCAATTCACACCTGGCAAGATTCGCTGGTGTGTCACTTTTTGCTGGAAGATTCGGCGAGGCACAAAAACGATCAGGTGACAGCAACATCCTAGATTAGATTACTGAACAAGTCTCCTGGAAATCGCCCGCAGCTGAAATTAAATTAGAATGATGGAGAGGCAATCTTCACCTCTCTGATAAATTGCTGGCACCATTACAATTTTTATATTGGTTCCGAGGATGAGAAGAACAGTGATTCCTCTCCCTTCGTTTAATGAGCTAACTGGGGATTATTAACATCTCAGATTAGAGTTGTAACTAGAGCTAGGACTGGATGTGTACTCAGAATCGGGGGGGTTGGGTAAGACCTGTACTCTCACAGTCTCTAGCCCCAGTCCTGATAGCTAACCCGGGTCCTGTGCATGATCCTAGCAGTCCCTGCCGCTTCTATGGGGCCACATGGACTTCCAGTGCTACCACCATCTTTAAACTTAGCATCCTAGGAAAAAATGAACAAAAGGGATAGTCCTGGCATGGTACTGTTGGGTCCAACCTAATGGAACGAGGGAGGTGGGAAGGGAAACGGCTGTGGTCATGAAGGTGTGACCAATTTAGAGATTCCGATTTGAAATTAAAACTGGGCCCATCACAGTCTCCCTATCAAGACATCATGTTTCCAACAAGGAACGATACTCTGTATGACTTTAGATCACTGAAAACCAGATATGTTAAAATAATCTAGGAATACCGAATTCAGGAATTTGGTGTTGGACTAGGGTTGCCAGATCCCCCCCGCCACCAGTGGCAGGTTGGAGGGATAGGTTTGCCAGATCCATGTGGGGAAACTCCTGGTGATTTGGGAATGGAGCCTGGGGAGTGGGGTACAATGCCGTAGAGTCAGCCCTCCAAAGCATCCATTTTCTCCATGGGAACTGATCTCTGTAGTCTGGAGAAGACCTGTAATTGGGCAACCAATTTCTGAGCACTATGATAGGTAGGGAGGAAAGCACTCGGTGTTGCGCAAGGTCTCACACAAGCAGAACTGCATAAAGTCTGTTCACGTTTCCACTGCCACATTGGTGGATCCAACGAGTGTCTTTGTAATTCATGTTCTCCTGTGTCTAAATCAAGTAAATGCCTTGCTGATCTAAATAATTAGGTCACTCATAGGACACAATAAGTTTGACATGAAGCTGATTGGCAAAAGATGTTCCTTTATACTTACCACGATAATGTTTTCATGCTCTTGAGTGGTTAAATTGGTATTCTGGGGGGGGAAAAGTACAAAAACCTTATTTATTGATGTTTTTAAATCAAGATTAATGTACAGTTTGGTGCTGTTTTGTTACATGCATTTACTTACTTACTTCCTTTCTACCCTTCCTTTCTCCCCAGTGGGGACCCAAACTGGCTGACATCATTCTCTTTCTCCTCCATTTTATCCTCACAACAACTCTATGAAGTAGGCTAGACTGAAAAGTGTGTGACTGGCCCAAGATCATCCAGCAAACATCCATGGGAGAGTGGGGATTTGAACCTGGGTTTGCTGGATCCCAGACTGAAATTCTAAGCATTACACCACACTGGGCCTCTTACTTAACCTTGTAATTAAGGGCCAAACCAAAAACAATGGGGACAGATCTAAATTAGTTAGAGAGGATTGTATGGTTCCCTTGATGTCAAGGAAGTAGGTGAAGACCTTTCCCCCCCACTAGGGTGGATCCTACCCTATTTGACCACTATACTGAGCAATGTCTGAAGCCTCCAACGTCATTTATTTATCTATTTATTTATTAAATTAGATTTACTAGGCTGCCCTTCCCTACAAGGAGGGCTCAGGGCTGCTTACAACAGAGTAATATACAAAAAACTTTAAGTTAAAATCAGAATTAAAACCACCTAAAAAGATCGATAAAAACAATAAACATATACTAGATGATACTAGATGAGAGGAAAAAATCCAGCTCCCTGGCCTCCTTGGAGGGAGAGGTTACAAGGGATAGGGAAATATAGGAGAGTGGCAGATGTCATACTGTCCTCTTCTCTGCCTCAACTGAAGGCCTGGTAAGTGGTGTTTCCTCCAATGGACAATAAGAGACGATTAAGACACTATAATCATGAAATCAACAGCAGTACCTGTACTGGGATGAAGTCAAATGTGCCCTTTCCTTCATCTTTAGATTCACTTATTATTCTTTTTCGTCAATTACACCTCTGCCTCAACTGAAGGCCTGGTAAGGCCGGTCCCCCATGTCCATCTTATTCTCACAACACCTAGGCTGAAGGAAGAGATTTGCCCAAGGACACCCAGTAGAGTGTCAGGGCTGAGCTGAGATTTGAACCTAGGTCTCCCTGGTCCTGATCCAAACACTGTAACTACTACTCCACACTGGCTCTCTGGCAATATCACGGCTGCTACGGCTACCACTCCAGCTGTTGCTCTTTCAAGGTTCCACTATGGCTGTGACCCCTCCCATAGAAGTGTATTACCTAGTAACCAAGGCCAGGTAAGAAAATATGTTGTCATCCCTAAAAGATTGCCTTCTCCTCATCGGAAAACCCTGCTGACAAATGGAGGCTGTTATGTGTTGGACTGTTTGAGCCACCGTAGACCTGGGGAGGGGTGGAGCTAAGAGTCTCCCAGGTGTGGGAAAGCTGGGTGGGCTCAGTTAGTTACTGCCTATTAAGACATAAGTTGCAGTGCTGGTGTTCACATAGGGTTACCAAGTACTTACCGCGATTCGGCGGGGGACACATGATCCCCGGCCGGAACATTCCTCTCTGTAATGCACCATGCCGTCACCAGGAAGTGATGCTGGGCGACACTCTGACAATGGAGCTGAAAACTCGATGGTAACATCGAGTTTCCAGCCCCATTGCCAGAGTGTCGCCCAGCGTCACTTCCTGGCGACGGCATGGTGTGGCGTGTCTGTTGTCCGTGTGGGAACGGTCCTGGGAAGAAGTATGTGTCCCCCACTGAATCACGGTAAGTACTTGGTAAGCCTGTGTTCACATAATAAATGGATTGCTGAATTGCTGAACTGCCTGGCCATCTCAATACTTAATAGAGGCACTGATGCAAACTGTCCTCTTCCCAATCCTAAAATATTACTGTTTTTTATGACATTATCAACAGTCATACAATAGAAATAAAGAACTGACTCTCTTGAATTTAGCTTGTCACCTCCCTGGTCACCTGCAGATGATTCCTTCTCGCCTCAGGAGAACAGACAGCAAGCCTCTACTGATGCTAAAGGCTTTAATTTTACTTGCTAATTTTGAATGACATCATTTACTTCACAGAAAACGTTTCAGATAAGATTAGACTCAGTAAGGCTTCCACAGTTCCTGAAGAGCTAAGGAATAATCTGGCTTCAATCAAAAGAATTTAAAAGCAAAACAAAACAAAAAAACTGCTGGTTCCCCTCTATTTTCCCCCGTGGTGGTTTTGGACATATGAAACCGAACACTTCATCATCAGAAGAGGTTAGCTGCAGACAAATAGCTTCAAATCTTTTAACTGACTCTCGGAGAATCGGTTCCTGGGAGTATTCTGGAATGTGTCACTTTATTTCATGTCCTTAAAACACTTTAAAACCGTTGGTAGTTTTTACTGTGTGTGTTTTTTAAGCCTCCACATTAGCAAGGTTTATATCTGTGAGCTTAAATGTACAGAGAATGTTTTGAGAAAAGAATAACGGAACAGGAGGATTAGGCTTGGCCAGAACCATGTTGATTTCACTTGGAAAATTTTGTGGCTCCAAACCTTGGAATGGATTGCAGATGTTGGATTGGATTCTGCAATCAATGGTGCAACCTCATTTGGAGTACTGTGTACAGTTCTGGTCACCACACCTCAGAAAGGATATTATAGCATTAGAAAAAGTGCAGAAAAGGGCAACTAGAATGATAAAAGGGTTGGAACAGTTTCCCTATGAAGAAAGGTTAAAGCGCTTGGGGCTCTTTAGCTTGGAGAAACGACGGCTGAGGGGTGACATGATCGAGGTTTATAAAATTATGCATGGAATAGAGCAGGTTGAGAAAGAAGTACTTTTCTCCCTTTCTCACAATACAAGAATTCATAGGCACTCAATGAAGTTCTCCTGAGGCGGTTAGAACTGATAAAAGGAAGTACTTCTTCACCGAAAGAGTGATTAACACATGGAATTCACTGCCACAGGAGGTGGTGCCGGTTACAAGCATGGACAACTTCAAGAGGGAATTAGATAAGCATATGGAGCAGAGATCCATCAGTGGCTATTAGCCACAAGGTATAGATAGGAACTCTCAGCCTGGGGCAAGTGATGCACTGTATTCGTGGTGCCGGGGGGGGGGCAACAGTGGGAGGGCTTCTAGTGTCCTGGCCCCACTGCTGGACCTCCTGATGGCACATGGTATTTTTGGCCACTGTGTGATACAGAGTGTTGGACTGGATGGGCCACTGGCCTGATCCAACATTGGCTTCTCTTATGTTCTTATGTTAACCTATTTCTAGCAAAAAAAAAAACCGGCCTGGGTCTCTTTTGCATGTGCTTAGCCCCCAGTTTGCACACGGCAGGCCATCAGGTGTGTGACATAAGAGAGCACCCTAACAAGAAGACTCCTCTAGGCTCTGCTGGAACTCAGCCTGAGGGTCGACTGCAGGGGTGGCCAAACTGTAGCTCGGGAGCCGCATGCAGCTCTTTCACATATATTGTGATGGGCCCATCTCTGTGATGGCCCAGGAAGACCTGGCACAGCCCAACACGACATGCTTTTAGGAGAAAGCAGAAGACCCACTTCTTTCTCAGTGAGGCTACTGGCAATTGCTGAGTTTTTATAAGTTTTGTCTTGTCAGTTGATATATTATGGGCACAAATGAGCCAAAAAAGTACTTTTCCTAAGGAAATCACCATGACTTCAATGTATATAACTAGGACTTGACTGCCATGTATATTTTAAGGTACCAACTGATTCCCCCCCTCCCTCTTTTGGTGCATATACTTGTTTTATAAGCTGCTTTTTTGTTTACTTACATATTTATAACTGCCTTTCTCCCCACTGGGAACTTAAATCAGCTGACCACATTGGTCTCCTCTCTTCCAATTTTATCTTCACAAAAACAAACCTGTGATGTAAGCTAGGCTGAGATGTTCATTCTCAGTCCCCCACCCCCATCCCGGTAAGGGTGCAAATCTGTTCAGGGTCTCCCTGACCACATGGCTCATAAGGTGTCACACAAAGTTTGTAACCAACAAACTAGCAAACTAGGAATTCTGCAAAACAACTCAGAGGAGTCTATTTCTCCAGAGACAGTAGTTGACACAAGGAAGGTTTTCCTGAATTTGTAAAGGTTTTTTTTAAAAAAAAAAAAAAAAAAAAAAGAGGAGGAGGAAGAGATTGAATTTATACCCCAACCCTTCACTGCCTGAAGGAGTCTCAGAGTGGCTTACAATCTCCTTTCCCTTCCCCTCCCCACAACAGACACCCTGTGAGGTAGGTGGGGCTGAGAGAGCTCTCAGAGAACTGCCCTTAACAGAACAGCCCTGAGAGAACTATGACTGACCCAAGGTCACACCAGGAGCTCCATGAAGAGGCGGGGAATCAAACCCAGTTCTCCCGGATTAGAGTCTGCACTCCTAACCACTACACCAAACTGGCTCTCAAAAAAGAGCAACAAAGAAAATCAGGAACAGCTTACTTCTGAGAGCAGCCTGGAGACAATCTCCAGAGGGGCCTGATGGATGGATTCATCCTGCAAAGGAGACGTCAGCGCCATGTCCACCAAAGTTCGAATCTCTTTCAGTACAACCTCCAAACGGCTTGGGTTACTGAGCACCTTCTTATACTTGTAGATCTTTTTCTAGAAAGAGAGTTTGTAAACAGAAACATGGAAGAGCAGATGTTAGATTAAGTAACTATGAGGAAGCTGCAAAAATATACAACATTCTACAAGCTATTTAGGCGAAAGAGATTCTGCATTATGAGAGAGCAGGGGAAAACTGGTCATGTTTAAGCATGAAGGAAATGCACCTTTAAAAAAATCCTTTGGTAGAAATTTACGTGGCACCTTCATCTTAGATTCTTAGGGAATGGATAAGAGATCAATTGATGAAATGTGCTTTTAAACCATTTATTTCCAACTTGTACATTTTGAGGAAATAAGTCACGTTGGGAGGAATGGGCTAACAGGTCAGAATCGACACAAAAAAAACACCCCTGAAATAAGAGGCAATAAGAGGTCTTTTCATAACTAATTGTAAATGACATAGTACAGGTTAACAGCATGAACTGGGAGCTGGGTTTCCCTCAAAGCTGTGCAGGTGAGCGGCCACTCATTAACACAGGAAGCCACGCTCAGCAGCATTCTGGGGCACGCAGGGTCTTCCACTGCCCATGATAAGATTACAGCAGTTATATTCTGCTCAAAACTGCTCTGCTCAGTAAGGGGGGGTGGGGAAATAAGAAGGAACACTGACAGGGAGTGGGGAAACTTCCCATAGCGTTTTTAAAAAAAAAACCTATCTCAGGTATAAACCTATTTGATGGCCTTATGCAAGCCATTGACTGTCAGCTCCCTACCCTATTTGCTATAATGCTACACAGTTCTACTAACAAAATGAAGTTATTTCACCGGAAGGAAACCATTCTGTCCGCATGTCCATCCCAGTATTCAAGAAATAAAGTCTTTCTTTTTTTTGCATGTTAGCTAGAATTACGTTTTCCCCCCAATGGCCCTGGATTAACCATTAAGCAAAATAAGCACATGCTTAGGGCAGCAAGGAAAGGGGGGCACCACAGAAGTTTTTTGGCTTATATTGCTTACAGTTATTTAGTGCTAAAAAAAACTCTAAAAGTTTATATTTAATAGTTATGGGGTCTGGCTTGCAGGATGGCCTGAAAGAAAACTGAATTTGTAATCTCTTATTTCACCTTCAGCACTTGTTGAGTCTTAATGTCTCGTCAGTTAAGCGACGAAACGGCAGAAGGGCACCATTGCTGGGCTGTGCTTGAGCTGGCCTTAGTCTAGTCCTGGCAATATCCAAAACCCTATTAAACTATCCTTGAAACCAAGGGTACCCAAGAGTCCTTTCGATACTTTGCCCAAACTAGTTTGGCAACCATCAACAGATATGTTAATAACAACCTGATATTAAACTGATAATTTTGCATAGACATAATGCATTAAAATTGGTAGTAGATCAGACCTTCACCTTACCCCTAACCGACAGAATTATTCCAGGCATCACTGAGACAACAGATGTTAAGTATCATTCCCCCTGCTTTCTGCAGGCGTCGATTGGTTACTGGCTTCCCCATTTTGAAAGCACCTAAACTGAAAACCGTGCCAGTGGCTGATTTAATTAGTTTCTCCTTTCCTACACATTGAAGCCACCTGATACTGACTTAGATCATTGTTCTACCAAGGTCAGTATTGTTTATTTTGACTGGCAGCGGCTCTCCAGGGTCTCAGGTGTTTCCCATCACCCACTGCCTCATCACCCACTGTCACTTATAGCCATGTCTGGTTGCCCAATCTGAGGCTTACTTAAATGTGGGAAAGGGAAACCCCACATCCCCACTCTATGTGACCTCCTGGCTTCCTCTCTGTTGGGTTGCCAGACATTGTTAAGGGGTAGATTTCATATCCCAAGTTTCAACCAACATAGATCAAGATGGGTAGCTGTCTGTCTGCAGCAGTAGAAAAGAGCAAGAGTCCAGTAGCACCCTAAAGACTAACAAAATTCGTGGCAGGGTATCAGCTGTCGTGAGTCACTGCTCACTTCTTCAGCTATTATTCTTTCAACCAACATGGCATTTAAAAAAGTTCAATTTTCACACCATTCTAGAAATCAAGACGCATGTATCAAAATACAACTTTTGCATCTATTGTGGAAGAACATATTTGACGTCTCTGTCACCCATATGTCTTTACACAGATCAGCCTAAGTGTAAGCAATACTTCCTCCAAAGCCCTCTTCCCGAGGTGTTCGCTGTTGCTATTTTATCATTTACAGAACAGAGGGCAATCGAGTCTTTATCGTGTTCATCTCACCATCTGACAAGATCAGTTTTCCATTGGCTAACGCTCTGTGCTTTTGCGAACCCTCCATGCTTGATCTGTGTTTTATGTGCCCATCAACAATCAATGCCTTCCCTAGGCAGCATCTTGCTTTACTCTTACTCATAATAACATACTAAAAAGTACAGCCATTTCACCACTCCAAAAGGCAGAAAGAAGCAAAACGAGGGGAGGGGGAGGCAGAAGACAAAAAGGGCACGTAATTCTGTCCACAAGCACAGGTTCTGGCTTTTGTGCTTGGCATTCTGAAAGCAACCAAGATGGGGGCGGGGGGGAACCCTATGATGGCTGATTTACTTACAGTCTGCCTGTGAATTAAAACTGTATGCCTAAACAGAGAGACAAAAGAGTGGTGTCTCATACATCAGGCAGAAGAGCTTGAACAGAGCACGTCATAAAATGTAGCACACAAGGGCTTCCACAGTCCCCGCCTCCCCCCCTCCCCATGCACCGTCAAACACAATTTTAAATTTTATGCTGATGAGGGTTTCCACGATGATTCAGCTGTCATCACTCTAAAAGGCAAACAGGAGAACATCAAGGGTGCCCCTCCTGTTCTTTGGGTGAGCCAGCTCTGCATCCCACAATGCAATAGAGCCAAGTTTGTACTGGCAAAGCAGAGGCTGGAAACATTCCTCTCATCCTCATTACTGCCGGTTGATTATTTTATCCATTAGCAAAAGACCAAGCATTTAAAAAGCACACATCCATCAGTGAATAACAACAGGTATGAATAAGGAGTTATTAATACTGCCACCCCATTTTCAGAGAAATCAAGGAGCTTCTGTTTGCTTATCACCAATATGGTCTTCATCAGATATCTAAGTTGTCTTCCACCCTCTTAGGGACCACAGATACTCAATTTTGGGATGTCACGGTACATATTCTGCCAGTAGCCCTTGCAAACACACTGTATTTACAACAAATGCTTCTAACAAGAATTGCTATAAAGAAAAAATACTTCTCAAAATAAATTCTCAGGTATTAGCCACTGCAATGAGCAGCAACAAACACAAATCAGCACAGCACATCCTTTTCACGGATCTCACAAAACTCTCCAAGCCTTTCCACAGATGGCACTGAATGAAAGCAAACTGGAGAGGGAAGGTAGAGTCGAGTTGAGCCGTTTTAAGCCAACTGGACCATGAAACAAACAAGACACCCTCAGAAGCAAGCGCCACAAACCAGCCACACTGCTGGCTAGTCCGGGCACCCCAGACCCCTCCCTGCCTTTCATTCCCCGCACCTCAGAATCCATGTGGGAAGCCGACCTCCAGCGCCGACGCTTTAATCCGACCGGGGAACAGCCTGGGAAGAATGGCTAGGGCTGGGAGAAAAGACGGCAGACCTTTGGAAAGCTGCCTAACTCTCCCTTGCAACTTTCCTTTTAAAATAAACAAACTAAAGGAGGGGGGGAAGAGGCAGGGGCTTACTAAACCCACTGCAAAGCCTTTTAAATATTTCCCCTCAAGAGAAATGTCAAGCCTCCCAGAGCTGCTGTTGAGAGGAGAAGAAACAACGGAAGGGTGGAGGGGAGCAAACTGCCTGATAGTGAAGGGGAGGAGGAGGAAAGACCTGGAACGGCTGGGCACAGATGCCTGGAAGATGTTGTTTGAAGCGGAGGGGTCAATCTGTCTCCAGGCTCCCACAGCGGAACAGTCGCAAGAAGAGAACGATCAATGTCTCTTCCTCGCTCGGTTCCAGCTCTCTGGGCCACAGGGTATTTAAATATGCTTGCATAAGGCACCGTTATCTTTATGAAACGTTGCTGTAACGCTGAAGAACAGAGGGAGGGAGGGTGGGACCAGAGAAAGAAGAGGATCTACCACAGTCCTCCAGAGACCTCAGCTCTGGCAATCTTGGACTGGTTCCTGGACCACAATGCTGTGTCTCTCAGCACAAGACTTGGAATAATCGGCAGAATTCAATCACCATTTTGGGCTCGCGATGGGAGAGTACAGATGGAAACTGAGCACAGTTTTGTGTAAGGTGGTCACCTCTATCTCCCTGCCAAGTGGCAAGGAGGATTTTCAACACTCCCTTGACTCCCTGTGTGTTGTTTTTTTTAAATTACTTCTCTTATTTACACAAACACCACCGATGTGCAAGGCGCACACATGCACAGTCAAGCCCCTGCTCCAAAGAGGGGGCCAGCATCATTACTCTGCACCCAGCACAAACGTGCAACGCAAGGCTTTCCACGGGATTCCACCCCACACATACATTTCATGAGTCAATATGTTTTCTACCCTTTTTCTGAAGTTTCATAAATAGAGCGTATTGGGCTTGCAGCCCAAGTCACCCGCTCCTACAACCCCATACCCTGTGGAGTATATATATATCCCTTCCATGGACCCTAAAGGAATAAAAATTTAAAGGGGGTTGGGGAGGAAGACAAAACTGGAGGGTGGGAAACAATGGAACCAGGAACACAAAAGGCGAGTGCAGGTCGATCCAGTGGATCAGCTTACCCCATGACTCCATCTCTCTTTACTGTGGGAAATTACCACGGGGTAACTCCATCAGAGGTCATTTCGGGGGGGGGATCGCGGGGGATCGCAGTTCCCCCGGGTGAGGTATGGGGGCGGGGCACATGACAAAGCCCCGCCCCCTGCTTCCGGCCACCCCGCTTCCGGCCCTCATTCAGCCAGGAGGAGGCAGGAGAAGAGGGAGGGTAAGTTGCTTCCTCCCTGCCTCTCCCCACCCCTGCCTGCCTGGGGCCAGGGAGGGCCTTCGCAGGGCTTCCTTGCACTCCCGCCGGCCTTGCAGGTCCACCGCCG